AAGTACGTTTTCTGGTTTTTAAGGAAGTACCTTTGTAGTATAATTCATTTTTATTAGTGTTTTGCAGGAAAAATACATGCACGTCAATAGGAGTATCCGGTACCTTCACCTCTTCCTGTTTAAGGCTTTTTGCGTAACCTTTCATTCACTGGATACAGCACACATGCTGTATCGAGCTTCTGACAGGTTGCCCTATTGGCCTAGCAGGGAACCTGGGGTCTCAGGTGGGCTTTGCAGGATCTATGGTGGGCTCTGCAAGGTCTTAGGTGGGCTATGATTGATCTCTGGTAGACTCTGCAGGGTCTCAGGCTGCAAAGCCATTCTGAGAACCTGCAGGGCCCACCATAGATCTTGCATAGCCAACATGAGACCCTGCAAAGCCCACCACAGATTCTGCATAGCTAACCTCAGACTCTTCAGAGCCCACCATAGACACTGCAGGGCTCACCACAGTCCCTGCAGAGCCCACCACAGATCCTGCACAGCACACCATAGATCCTGAACAGCCCACCTGAGACTCTCAGGTGGTGGTGTGTTTCAGGGAGGGATTTCTCAAACCTAGTTTCTTAGGTGGTCTTTAACCTATTTTAATAATGAAGGGACCTGTTATTTAAGATTTTATTTTTAGCTAAAAGGGCTTTACCAGAGTAAGAAAAAAAAGAATAGCCTAACCTGTAAATATATTAAACATGGCACAAAGTTTTTTTTAATGATAGACAGGGCATGTTGTGTCCCATATAATTGTTTACTGCTGTTGCTATGTATTGTGTTATATTATCAGTGTAAGGGTATTTACTGACACCTAGGGGGGAGTGTGATGCCACAGCAACTAGTTTATTTGTTCCCTTGGTATGTTCCCCCTCCTGTTTAGTGCTAGTTGGTATAGTCCTAGCTAGACCTTCTCTGCTCTTTCATGTTTCCATAGTTAATTAAATTTTGTAGCAGAGGGCTTGGGGAAGTCATCTTCTTACAACTTATTTACAATACTAAAGACTGGATAACCATCCTCTGTACTGTACTTTGTAAAGTGTATTTTTGAAGAGTTAAGCTGTCTGTGGATTCTGCTGATTCAGCAGACAGATTGAGATATAAGGACATGTGTCATTGCATAAAGTGGCATTTGAAACTGAACAGGGCAATAAGTAATTATGAAAGTTTTGATTGTTCTGCTGATTATGTAATTTATTTGATATGTCCCTTTTTGTTTTTTGCTTTTGTGGGGAGAACCAATAGATCCCAAGGTTTTGTGAATACTGCATGAATGGAAACATACTGGATCTTTACATTACATACATTAGCAATGTGTAATAAAAAGAGTTCAGACAATTTAACACATTCAAGTGAAAAGTCCCAAACCTGGGGAAGTTCCTTCCCCAGAATGTCAGTCCTGCAGCCCAGCACAGTAGCACAGTAATCCAGCAAGTCCCTCTCTCTAGCCAGTCACCGACCTTCCCCAGCCTCCCTGGTTGTTCCACCTGCGTCCAGCATGCACAACGAGTCTGCTTGCAGTCGTGTGCCTGCTGCACACCCACACACCACTGTCTTGGCTCGACCCTCCTGGCCTCGCCCACACACCGCGTGTGCCACAGGCCCTCTTAGCCTCGCCAGGCAGTCTCCCACTCTCCAGGTCCGACTGCACCACTCTTCCTCTCTGTTCACTGTCTTTAAACAGGGCTGTTACCAGCCACCTGGACAGTCTGGCCTGGCAATTGGCTGCACCTGGCCCCAGGACTGGAGATTTCATCCCGCCCAAGACACTTAGAAATCTCCAGAAACCCAGATTCTAGTTATATTCCAGAAAATGCGGAAGGAACTGGAAACCCAGCTCCTTCCATGTAATACTACTATGCAATTTCTGGACCATCTCAGCCCCTCTGGCCGAGAGTCCTGGGCGCCAAGCACAGCAATCACCAGAGTGACATGGCACTGAGGAAAATACATTTATACTTTTCAATCAGCCAGATCAAATAATTAATTTGGTAAGCTTGTTACTGCACTATCTGCCCTTTTATTACTTTTTATTAATCAGTTTTTTTTCTTATGTATTTAATAACTTTACATATTTATAGTGCATCAAGGCATTTATAATTAATTTCATCAAGCTAATTACATATATTAATAGCTGCCCTGCCAGACTGCTTAAAAGGGGCTAAGAACCACCTAGAAAACCAACTTGTGAAAGGGGATCTCTCCCAGAAAATGTATCTCATTAATAAGGGAGTGAAGCTTTGACCTGGAAGTGAGAGGAACTCTACCCCCTTTTTGGCTGCTTGATACTGTGTTCTGCAGAGCAGGTCTTGTGGTTAACCCCCACCACTAGCGATGGCAGGAGGGTCCATGGAATGCTCACAGAGGACATCTCTGGGCCACAGACAAGCAATTTTGCATTATACACTTGTGAGTTCATGTTCAGCGATTTTGTTCATATTGAAGTAAATGCTATACTATACTAGTACAATGCCTGCCCTTTTGTATTTTGCCTATGGCATCCCAGACGACCTGGTACAAAAAACTAGGTGTCTGGTTGTCAGGTCAGGAGCTTTTGCCAATCATTGAGGATTTGGTGGCAATTGCAGAGGGTGCTAAGTTGGTGCAATGTCTCTGTATATTATTTCTCAAAGGTATTTGATACGGTACCACACAAACGCTTACTACACAAGCTGAGATCTATGGACATAAAGTGGTGTGTACGTGGATAGAGAACTGGCTATGGGAACGTGTCCAGAGAGTATCTATAAATGGCGCCTTTTCAGACTGGGCTAGTGTAATGAGCCTCAGGGTTCTGTGCTGTGTCCCATATTATTCAACCTATTTATTATTGATATCGGGGAGGGAGTGAATAGCCATGTTTCAGTGTTTGCAGACGATACAAAAATAGGGAGGGTATTAGAAACGGACCGTGACAGTATAACATTACAGGAGGACCTGGATAAAATAGGGGAGTGGGCACTAATATGGCAGATGAGGTTTAATGTCGATAAATGCAAAGTAATGCACTTTGGAAATAAAAAATAAACAAATGGGCTATACAATCACGGGTATGCCACTAGGGGAGTCAGAAATAGAAAAAGATTTGGGGGTTATTGTAGACCACAGACTGAATGGTAGCTTGCAGTGCCAGGCTGCTATAAAAAAAAAGCTAGTAGCGTCTTGTCCTGTATTAAGAAGGGGATGTATTGCAGAGACAAGTCTATAATTATGCCACTTTATAGATCATTGGTTCGGCCTCATCTGGAGTACGCGGTCCAGTTTTGGTCACCATTACTAAGAAAAGATGTCCTTGAGCTGGAGAGAGTCCAGCGGAGGGCAACCAAACTAATTAGGGGAATGGAGGACCAGAGCTATGAGACAAGGCTACTGAGTTTAAACATGTTCACGTTGCAAGTAAGGAGATTAAGGGGGGATATGATTTTCATGTACAAGATGTTCAATGGTGACATCAACATTGGCAACAAACTCTTTTTAAGATTAACTCCATTACAAAAACTAGAGGCCACCACCTAAAATTGGTGGAAAAAAAATTCTAGCACGAGGGGCGAAGGGGGTTCTTCACAGTTAGAGCGGTTAGGGTCTTGAACTCACTGCCACCGGCAGTGATTTCAGCTAAGAGTGGGGAATTGTTCAAGAAACTTTTGGACAATTTCCTGAGGGTCCCTCAGGACCCTCAAGTTGCCCAAATCTTATTTTTTTTTAATATAAACTGTATAATTACATAGGTACATAGTATTTGGGGTTGAATAAAGACATAAGTCCATCAAGTCCAACCCATATAGGTCCATGTATCATCTCATTCTTAGGAATACCCCTGTATATTACGGTCCGTAATACCCCTGTATATTACGGTCCGTTATATACAGGGGTATTCCTAAGAATGAGATGATACATGGACCTATATGGGTTGGACTTGATGGACTTATGTCTTTATTCAACCCCAAATACTATGTAACTATGTAATTATACAGTTTATATTAAAAAAAATAAGATTTGGGCAACTTGTAGTGGATAATATGTTAGTTTTCCCAAGTGATTCTTAATGTAGGGATAGAGGCATAGGATGCTTGTAAAGGATGGTTCTGGCCAAGAGTTTGCCAGGTTTTATCCCCAAGCTCGTACAAACATTTTTCAGGTTCTCTCTTAGGAGAGTGAAATAAGTACATTTAAAATGTGTTGATAGTAGTGGAAAAAGTCATACAGCCTGAGATCCCACATACCTGGTTTGGTGCTCTAAATATTTAAGAGCTTATCTATTTGACAATTTTTCATTTGAAAAATATATTGAGCTCCCTTTTGAAATAGTTTTCAAAAAGTTTGTTTTGGATAACTGACCGGCCGTGTGTGTGTGGTTGTGGTATTTTTTTTTTTTTATGTTTACATATTTTGTACTTATTAACCTCTTGCCGTCCGCCCGTAGTAGAAAAACGGACGGACGGCACTGCTGCATCTGCGGGTTTTTTTTTCTGCTCGCGTGCGCCCCGGGCAGAAAAGACCCGACAATGCACACACCCGGTACCGGGTGTCACACATATAGGCGATCAACCAGTCTTTTTTGGATAGAGCAGGTAAAGGTTAGAGCCTCTGTCTGTTTTTTTTAACTGCCATCTGTGTACCTTTTAGGAAGATTTCCCCTCACTTCATATCAAAAGAGCAAGTGATGGATACCTCTCTAACAGACCTAAATACGTTTTAGTAGATTGGGGAAGAGTTATAACATCTGACCTGTAACCTGTCCCATTGATTACCTCACCACTTATCTTTTTTCATAGCTGTCGCAGCGACATGAAGTGAGGAAAGAACTCCTCAATGTAGGGAGGGGAATGACAGGTAGACACAAAATCTAGTGTCACTATTGCAACTGGATGGCACTGAAAAGCACAGAAATTCCCTATGCTCCTCAGCTCCATCTAGGAGGACCCTGCTCATGAGAGTTTATAATCTAAAGGGTTATTATGCATGTACTTTGGCATCATGACTGACGATTTGGTGTGCTGTTATGTCTTTAGGAGGCCTTTCCAAAGAAGATATAGACTGCTCATTCAATGTAAGGTAAGTTTTGTTTTTTTCTTCACCAATGTATGTTTTAACATGTATACGTTAAAATATAGGCAACAAAGACCCTAAATCAAATGTTATTCTTTTTTTGCACAATTTCTTTTTCAATATTTCAATATTTTTACTGAGTTATAGAAACATAAAATGGAGGATATAAAATTATTAAATACACAACTGGTTCCAAACATCATAGACATGCACATACATGTATAGTTTAGTCATATCCAAGTAAATAGAGTAGATAACATACACACATTTAGGGGTCCAACCAGATGTAGGAACCAGAATGGCTAATGAATGAATTCCAGCCACAGAAGTAAAAAAAAATAAAAAATTAAAGAATCAGAAGAGAATGTAGAGATGTATATAGGAGTAGAGGGAAAGGAGAGAAAAGAGGGGTGCTCCTGAGTTTCTCAAAACGTTCTGTGAACATAACCACCTACTATACTTGAGATCATAAATCTATTCGGCACCAGTTGAAGGACCATTGTTAAAAAGTGATTGATCCACAGTTCCTTTTATTTCATTTCGTTTTACTTGTCCATAGTATATGCTCGTTTTTGCCATAATTTTTAAATTAAAGAATGTCCAACCAGGCTTTTGCAATGGTGTGTTTCGTAGCTGTTTTAAAACGTGTTCTATTTAAACTGGGTTTTTGTAAGTCCCTCTGGTTGGAAGTTGAGGAGTGCTTCACTTTGTTTTTTCTGATATGTTGGCTTTGCACAATTTCTTAAGTATATACTGTATAATAGCAAAATTAAACATGTATATAGAAGAGAAATAGAACATATGCACATAGACATTTACATCATTTTTATGTTCTAGCCTAAGTGTGGCTCGTGACCCACTGGATATTGAAATGTGCTCTGTGATCAATAAGGAACTTGCTCTCGAAAGGTAAGTCCTATTCACAATCATGAACTTACAAAACACAGCATTTTAGAGCATCCTCTATTTACTTGTCTGTTGAACTCTGGCCTGTAAACCTGTATACTGTATATAAAAGTTAAAGGGGTTCTAAACCCTCCCGTTTTTTTGCCTATATCTACTGCTATCAAGCAGTAGATATGGGCAAACAGTTATTTTTTTAAAAAAACACTTTAACAGCGCTTTAAACCTACCTTGTTTTCGCTGCGCGCTCCCATCCGAGAAAACAAAACTGCTCGGGCGGCCGCAAAGCATCTTGGGGCGGGCGCATGCCCAGTTCGGATTCTCTGACGGGAGACGAGCAGAGACGCAGGGTAAGTCTATGGACGCGTGCACCCGCATGCAGACACCGTGGGATCAGAAGTGCCAGCAATCAGAGAGGAGTCAGCGCTGGATCGGAGAGCCGCCGCACCGCTGGAGGGACAGATGAAAACATCAGGAAAGAAGAAGAAGATCGGATTAAAGGAGAACTATGAGGTGAGTGCTTTTCACTCACCTCATAGTTCTAGCCGACCTGTGACAATGAGACTGTCACAGGTCGGCTCAGTAGATCGGGAAGTGAGCGAACACATACCGGGTTCGTTCACTTCTCGATCCTGTCACGGCTCTCTGCCGTGACAGGGGAGGGGCTGGATTCCCCCCTCCCCGCTCCGATCCTCCAGCGGTGTCTGGCGGAATGGACGGGGGAGGGGGCGGTTACAGCTAGCTCTGCCTCTAGATAGGCAGGGCCAGCTGTCACTCACGCAGCTGGGCGGATCTCGACATCGATGTCGGGATCCACTCCGGCCGCGGTGTCTCCGTATACCGCGAGCTGTAGCTCGCGGTATTCTGAGCTTAGGGTGACGAGAGGACGCTAGTTTGTGTCCTCCCGTTACCCTAAGGAGAACTATGGGGAAAAGCCCTGACCCCATAGTTCTCCTTTAAGTGACATAATTTAAGGTAAGTGCTGACATTAACATTGGGGGAGGGGATTTTTTTTTGCCTTTTAACCGCTTGAAGACCAGGTGTTTAGACCCCCTTCCTGGCCAGGCCTTTTTTCAGTATTCAGCGCTGCGGTACTTTGACTGACATTTATTCTGTCATGCAACGCTGTACTGAAATTAATTTTATACCATTTTTTGGGGACAGATAGAGCTTTCTTTTGGTGGTATTTAATCACCACTGGGGATTTTATTTTTTACTATATTCAGGAGAAATAAATACGTTTTTTTTTTACATTATGTTATACAACAACTATTACCCACTTTTTTGGTAAAATATAAAAGACGGGGTCACGTCGGGTAAATAGACACCAAACATGTCAAGCTTAAAAATTGCGCGCACTCACGAAATCGGAAAAAAAATAGCGTACCCAAAATTGGCGACGCTTTTACAGCTCATCAGTTTCGTGTTATCAGTGATTGATGGCCCTAAAATGATTTGCTCTCACTGCGACGTTCGCAGCGATATGTAACATGTGCGGCGTAATGGTCGTTTTCGCAGGTATGTGCACCTGACGCATGTTTACATGCGTGTATGTAGGGGTGGAGACTTTAAAAAAAAAATAATTCTTTTTTATGTGTAACTTAATTAAAAATTTGGGGAAACTTTAAAATGTTTTCCTATTTTTTTTTTCCACTTAACTTTATTGCTATCACAGAGGGGGCTAAGAAACCCCTATATGTGATAGCAAAAGAAGTGACAGGTCCTCTTTATGGAGACATCAGGGGTCTCCAAGACCCCTAATGTCACCTAGGACCCCCCAAAGAAGCTGATGAAGCACCGATCTGCTTCATCAGCTTCTCTTCAGCATCTGAAGCTGGAGAGTGACACGAGAATGCGGAAGTGATGTAATATACACCACTTCCGCATTCTGACAGCAGAGAGGGAACTGGAGGGAGATCGTGAACCGACCTCCCTCTGATCCCCTGTTACAGAGGCACTATGCTGGTCCCGGGCTCGCACCTGGCACAGCAGAGCCCGGGAGGGGGCGCACATACCGGGACCCCATACAAGTGATCCGCCCGCTCTATAGCCGGCGGATCGCTTGTATGTTGACAGGCATCGCTGCTGGTTTTTAAATTGTGTCTTTCCCGCTCGTGCGCGCACAAGTGGGTGGGAGTAACAGGACGTGTATACACCCCCAGTTACATCCAAGAAGCTCCCGGCCGGCCGTGTATACACAGTTAATGTCACTTTAAGCGTACATTAATTTTAGGTTTAATAAAAATATAGAACCACATATTGTAGTATTAAAGCGTATCTAAACCCAAAAGCAAAAATGTAATACATTGCAGCTTACAGATCATTAAATGTGTTGGCTACATTAGTTTTCTTTTTTAAGGCTTTTTTCCTTTGTTTTCACCTGGTGATCTGAACAGTAACACACTTCCTGTCTTAACCACTTCCGGGCCGCAATACGTCTATAGACAGCGGCTTAAAACAAGGGGTGTGTATTACATAATTTCCGGTGTCACTAGTTACAGTAACAGATCTCTGCTTCCTCAGCTTCTTTAGGGTCTCTAGGTGACAGGGTGACCCCTTATGTCTCCATGAAGAGGACCTGTCGCACCCTATCTGCTATTACATAGGGTGCTTGTTCGCCTCCTATGTGATAGCAATAGAGTTAGTGTAAAAAAAAAATTTAAGTAACCTATAAGAAAAAAAAAGCTAAAAAAAATGTTAAAGTCCCCCGCCCCCCACGTGCGCGCACATACGCAAACATGCATAGGTGAGAAAACGACAATTGCGCTACACATGTTACATATCGCCAGCGAACGTCGGAGTGAGAGCAATAATTCTAGGGCGATCAATCACTGGTAACGCTAAACTGATGAGCGGTAAAAGCGTTTAAAGTGTTCCCTATGGGAAATTTTGGGTATTGACGGTTTTTGCGGCTTCACGGGCGAGAGCAATTTTAAGGCTTGACATGTTTGGTATCTATTTACCCGACGTGATCCCGTCTTTCATATTTTACCAAAAAAAATATATTAGGTTATGTTTCTGTGCACTAAATTTTAATGTCGTTAATTTTTTCCTAAAAATACATTTGCTCAAAAACCGTGCGACATAAATTGCAACTAGCATTTTTGTTATTCTACAGGGCCTCTGCTTTCAGAAACTATTTAATTATTTGGGGGTTTTAAGCTGTTTTCTAGCCAAAATGTATATTTTATCATGTCTGTGCAAATGGTAAGAAACTGGTCCGGACAGCAAGTGGTTAGGCCTATGGAGGAGCAACGGAGCAACCCATGGACAGCAGCATTGTCACACTGTGGAGATGGTAGTGTTAGATGCACTAACAGATTACAATGTTGTTAACTAACAAAGCTGAACTCCACCTAACACTTTTTAAGCATTTACAGCAACAGTTTTTTTTCTGGTTCCGTGTAAAGGTTTTACATAAATTAATAGAAGCTGACCATTGTAAGCACCCCTGTGAGTGTTAAATGGTTTGTCTCAACCCTCTATCTGTCACTTTTGCTGGACAGCTTGGCCAAAAGGAAATTGAAAAATAATAAACTTACTGGTAGGATCACCAGGTGAAAATAAATGGAAAAAAAAAAGTAAATATATGCTGCCACCACATCTAAGAATTAGTGAGCTGCAATAAAGTGCTAAAACGGTTCTCACATGTGCTCTTAAGAAGACCTTGACTTAGGAAAAAAAGTTTCCACCTGTAGTACATTTGCATGATCTCAAGAAATGTATTATAAATGGTTACAAACATAATAGCCTTAAAGTGCATCTACACCCAAAAGAAAAATGTAATATATTACTTCCCTCCAACCAAAACTGATAACAGAGTCTTCAGCAGCCATATCTCCAGCCACATTCAGACTTGCACGGTATGTTATTTTTCAGGGCAGTTTCCTGTCTAATTGTTTTTATGTAGCAACATGTTGTTCTTAATAAAGGGATTCTTTAACCCCTTCGTGACGGGAGACGTACACTGTACGTCCCGCCACAAAGGGACCAAATGACTCGTCACGTACACAGTACGTGATGAGTTATTTGCTGCACTAGAGGGCTGGTAACCACTGAGAATCAGCGATTATCATTCATTAATGGATGCCTTCAGTTTAGAGGCATCCATTAATGAAAGGGTTAACCTTTTTCAGACACCCGATACCTGAAGATCGGGTGTCTGAGAGTCGCAGCAGAGCCGGCAAACATGCCGGCATTCTGACAGCTCGTATAGATCGAGAGATATCTCTCTCAAGCTATACTGGCTTTTTTTTTTTTTTCTTTCACCTTCAGGGATACATAATGTATCTATTCCTGAAAGAAGAATGTTTCAGTTTTCTAATCGTTGTTGCAACAATCAGAAAACCTTTAGTGACAGCTGAATCCCGAACTCCTGCTGGATCCGTGTCACTAACTTATTATCGGCTGTTCTGAAGTTTAAAGCAACCGGATAATAACCAAAAATTTATTCATTTATCAAGCAGTAATAGTGAGATTAATTCACAATGACTGCTTGATATCATTAAATAAATAAAATAAAATGTTTAAGTTTAAAAAAAGTGAAAAGTGTAAAAAAAAAAAAAAAATAAGGGACAAATAAATGAATGTATTTATTGCATTTTTTTTAGCTGTGCTGGTTTTGTAAAAAAAATACTACAAATCAAAACTGGGAAAAAAGTGTTTTTTTAACGTTTTTCCTCCTTTTTGTATATTTTATTTGTCCTAAGTGAGGCGTTAGACACACATATGTGATATAAATATATAGCCCTATCTGTCCTCTAAAAAACAATATATAATATGTGTGGGTGCACTTTGTAAGAAAGTATATTACTGACGTGGAAGAATCATACAGCAAAAATGTCAAAAGTGTGTCAGTCATTTACGAACAGAAACGAAAAACAAGCTCAGTCATGAAGGGGTTAATGCCATTTTTTTCACTGGTTTCCAGAAATGTTTCTAAAAGGCTACCTGTGGCTGGGTTTCATGTTCACCAAAAACTGTTATCATGTGTGTTATGCTTAATGTTTATTTTATCAGTGCTCTCTCTGTATTTAGGATGCAGACTTTTAATGCCTTGCTGATTGCTTTACAAATAGATTCCACACAGCGTTTGTAAGTAAATTATTTATATATTCATATACGGTGTACACTGATCAACCATAACATTATGACCAACTGCCTAATATTGAGTAGGTCCCCGTTTTGCCACCAAAACAGCCTTGACCCATCAAGGCATGGACTCCGCTAAACCACGGAAAGTATGCTATGATATCTGGCACAAAGCCATCAGTAGTAGAACTCTTAAAGGAGAACTATGAGGTGAGTGCTTTTTTACTCATCCTCATAGTTCTAGCCGACCTGTGACAATGAGACTGTCACAGGTCGGCTTAGTAGAATGGGAAGTGAGCTAACGCATATCGGCGTTCGCTCACCTCTCGATCCTGTCACGGCTCTCTGCTGTGACAGGGGAGGGACACAATGTTTAGGTAGGTGGTATGTGTCAAAGTAACATACACAGGAATGGCATGGGCCAAGGTTTTCCAGCAGAAAATTGCCCAAATCATCACACTGGCTCCACCGGCTTGCAATTTTTCCAGTGGTTATAATCGGTGTATTTAAAGTATGAAAGTAATATTTTTTTTCTTTTTTTTTTTACCCAGTATGTTTTTTGTTTTGTTTCGCTGAATATGGGGAATACAACAGCATTCTAGCCAGCATCACTGCTATTAATTCCATAAGGTCTCTTGGCTGAGGTTGTCTGGAACTATTAAATGGCCATGAAGCCGATGATAATCATTTTATGTCTAAGGGTAGCTTATTATCTATAGGTATTTAGTGGTTTACCAGATGATACGTTAAAATGACAAATCTTTTGTTATATTCTTTCATTACTTTTCTTTTCTAACTATGTTTATCTCATTAACATACAGGTCCATATCTGCAGTGATGAGACATTCTGCAGATACTTGTAAGCAGATACTGGCAGTACAGCTGGTAAGCAGACTTATTTTCTGTTATATTTTTTGCACAGTTTTTTTCAAAGAAAAAGTATGAAAATTATACACTTCTCCTAACATTTAGATCTATAAGTAATCAGAAGGTCACAAAGCACAAAAGATTCTCTGTTTATTGGGTGATAGTCTAAGGCAAGGCATAAAAAACGTTAGAGACAAATCTTTCGTAGTTCCCTGTGAAGCTGATGGACCGACCTGTTGCAGCCTCCCTGCTGACATCCTTCAATCCAAAAATCGAAGGATCTGGCCTGAAAATTATCGGCCGAACAATGACTGCAGCCAATAACGTGTGTTATGGGGGGATTCCCCTATCTATGCTACATAGTGTGGAAGGGGAAATCTGAAGATTTTAATCCCTTCAGCCTGCAAGCTAATCGGAGAAAATCTAATAATATATGGCCAATTTACGACTTACTATATGACCTAGTAGTACAGTAAGGTCTTGTACATATGAGCTTCAGCTTGCATAAGAACAGTTTTTTAAAGCAGTTACACCGTTTCCAGCCCACTTAGGCGAAGCAGGTCGCAGTGGCATGCAATCCCATGTGCTTGCATGCATTTGTTTTCTGCATTTGTCATGCATCTCCATTGATTTCAATGTGTGCGGAAAGCAAACCAAACGTGGGTAAAGTCGCGCATGTAGCAAATGATGCAACATTTTCCCCCAAAATTTGTGTGCGTTTGAACGTGCAGGAAAAAACGTGTTTGCCCAGACGCGTTTGGGGTGCCATTTGATGTTTCCAATACGCCTATGTGGAATGAGGTCTAAATCAGCTTTGCTGAAGCCATTAAAAAACACTTATGGAGAGTTGATTGGAGCACTGCAAGGGGATTACTGGAGGTCCTGATCACTGTGCTCTGTCCAAAAAAAAAAAAGCTTTTACTGGGCTTTCATGTCACATGAGGTGGTGGAAATTAAAGGAGAACTATGGGGTCAGGGCTTTTCCCCATAGTTCTCCTAAGGGTCACGGGAGAACCCAAACTAGCCTCCTCCCGTGACCCAAAGTTCAGTATACCGCGAGCAACAGCTACAGGTATGTGTTCGCTCACTTCCCGATCTACTGAGCTGACATGTGACAGTTTGTCACAGGTCGGCTCAGATTATGAGGCTGAGTGAAAATCACTCGCCTCATAATTCTCCTTTAACAGCTGCAAAGGTGCAGAGGTTCACAAGTCACCACTTCTGCAGGCATTGCTGAGGTAGAAGTGACTGTGAACTCAGGTGAATTAAAAGGGTATGAGAGAAGTTATTTAAATGGGAGAAACATAACATTTGTTCAGACTGGCTTTTTTGTTTGTTTGTTTGTTTACCAAAGAAATGTAGCAGAAGAATACATTTTGCCTAAATTCATGAAGAAAGATTGTTTGATATGTTAGGTATATTACTCAGGGAAGGACTAGGGACTCACTCTCAGTCTGGGTGGCAAACCCTTCAACAGATGGTTCAGCCTGCATTTGGCCTTTACCAATTCTCTCTCACATGCCACTTGTATGTACAGCACAGCATACAGAATTAAGTATTGTGGAATAGCAAATGTATAGCACAGTGTACACAATGAGGCAGTGTGGAATATGGTATGTGCAGCGCAGTGGGGAATAATACAGCACAGCCAGGGGCGTATTTACCGCGAGGCAAAGTAGGCGTTTGCCTAGGGCGGCACCTTCCTGGGGGGCGGCCGTAGTCAAATGCCTATGTTGTGAAGAGGAGGGGAGAGCCAGAGCCCGTCTGTGTGTAGGAGTGGAGGGCGGCTTGCCTGCTTGTGAAGAGGGTGGGAGGACGGATGGAGCCGGACAGCGCAGCCGACGGATGGGATCGTGACTCAGAAAACGAAAAGCAGCCGGTGGCCACTTACTCGATCTCACTGCTTCCTGGGTCACAGAGCCGCTGTGACCCAGGAAGCAGTGAGATCGATTAAGTGGCCGCCGGCTGCTTTTCGTTCTCGAGTCACAATCCCATCCGTCGGCTGCGCTGTCCGGCTCCATCCGTCCTCTTCACAAGCAGGCAAGCCGCCTGCTGGGCTGGGCGGGCTTGTAATCTCTGTAATCTCTGCCTGCGACTAGAGTTAAACCCCCCCGGGGGGGGGGGGGCTAGTAAGGTGCCGAGGGCGGCCGAAGCTTGGCTTGCCTAGGGCAGCCAAATACATAAACACACCACTGAGCACAGCCTACACAATAAGGACATTTTGGATGAGGGATTGTACAGCACAGTGTGTGGAATGGGGATTGTACAGTACAGGTTACAGAATAAGGATATGTTAAAATGGGAAACGTACAATACTGCATGCAGGAACTGAGAATGTCGGGCTCAGTTTTTGTAATGACGTGGCATGAAAAAGAGAATTACAGCACAGCTTCAAGTGGTGTGGGATAGGGAATGTGTACAGCACGGTGTATAGAAAGAGGCAGGGTGCATATGGAATGCATAGCGCAGCCTACAGAATAAAGACCCTTTTGGAATAAGGTTCATACAGCACAGTGTACCAAATGAGGCAGTGTGAAATCAAGAATGTACAACACAGCATACAGAATGGGGCAATGTGGAAAAGGTAACATACTCGTGAAAATGCCCCAACACTAAACGCAGATACCGGTGTTCTGTCAAGAACGCCGACGTAGTCGAATTGGCCAACCTCAGCATCTACGCTTGCGCACAGACCACTATTATCGAGGAAACCGTGATTTATTCACAAAGTATTTCGTTTAATTTGTTCATTGTGACTGTCAATAATATTCCACCCATCATTTACTGCCATGGATGGTATGTTATTAACGGTCACAAAGAACCATTACAAACGAATACTTTGTAAATAAATGCCGGCTTCCTCGTTAATCTCATCTGTACGTAAACGCAGATACTGGGTGGGCGTTCTCGACAGAACACCGACACAAAATTTTAAACAAGCGGCTGACTGAGGTCCTGCGCTTGCTGGGGACCTTGGCAGCCTTCCTGCTAACCATGTGGTGACATGGCGGTTGGGGTGGGGGGGTGGCCTTCATGGTTTCTTGCACCGGGGCCCTGAAGTTTCTAGTTACCCCTCTGATACTGTGTATTAGGATAGCTTCTTTTAAGTAGATATAGTTAAAAGCAGTCAATACTGCTCACATCCATGCATCTCCCAGCCGAATACAAGCCATGTAAAAGTCTAGCATTGAGAGGAGTTTGGTGCTGGATGTAAACAACTGTGGGAGGTCCTGGGTGCTGGATATCGGTAAGTAAGCATCTATGGTGAAGAGTGGCCTCTGTAATTTCAGCAGATGACTTGGGTGGGCAAAGGAGAAAACTGCACTTTTCTAAAAGTGCTCTTATTCTGAAATCAACAACCACCATACCCGAATTGAAGGCTAGGATTAAACCATCCACACAGTGTCAGTCGGTGCTCAGTTTACAAAGCCTCATAATCCATTTTAAAAAAAAATGGAAAAAAAAAATCCTAATAAAACAAAATAAATGTTAATAGCAAATGCTTTTAAAGACAATTTACTCTCATCTGTGCATCAGAGAATGGTTTACAGTATCCCTGCAAACACTACCAGTTTTGCTGCTCCTGCCGGCTGCTTTAGGACATTTTGAGCTGTAAAATGACCATTTCCTATACAAAAAAAAATGATGTAAGTTATGGGGTATTTTAATGATTGGAAGTTTGGCTACAAGATGTATTTCGGGTGTATGTGGATGTATGGGTATGTGATTGCAAGGATTCCTTTGGCTGATTTTTATTTTTTTGACACCTCATAAGTATAGAGTATATGGATATATGTAGGCATGCATATGCAAGGAAGACACATAGGTGCATATTAAGATTGGACAAACAGTATATGCCGGGTGTGTGGCGTGTGACCGTCGTGCGGCCGACACAGCTCGTCCTGGGGGCGGCTTCTCTCCCCCTCACCGCTGGTCGCTGGCCATCCGATATGACAGCGCTCCCTCGTCCGGGGGGGGCGCAGGAGGGAGCGCTGCATGCTGTCAGGATGGCGGAAGCTTGACATGTTTGGTGTCTATTTACCCGACGTGACCCCGTCTTTTTATATTTTACCAAAAATATGGGTGATAAATGGGTGTGGTTACTGGGGGTGTGACCACTAAAGGGTGTGGCCACTGAGGGGTGTGGTCACTGAGGGGCGCTGTAAAGCTTTCTCGCACAGGGCGCCTAAAGGCCTAAGGCCGGCCCTGGGCGTGTCTATATCCATACTAAAATTTTGAAAAGGACTTGTAAAGCTTTTATGATTATATTACTTTGTATATACTGTGTTGAAATTGTAATCTGTTTCTGGGATCAAGTAAACGCTACTCTCTGGAAAAGAACCAAGGTTTCCAGGAAAAGTTCTTGTCACATATATCTACAGTTATATCACAACACGTGGAGTGCAACGTCTATTGGTAATGGTGCCTACAGGCTTGCCCCTTGATTGCATATGCAGTTGTATTAGACAATCAAGCCTCATGCTGCCAGATCCACACTAGTGCATGACAGGACGGCATAACAAAAAAAACAACCAATCGCTCAGTATGTACTAAAAGGGGCATGATACATTATTGCTAAACAAAAAATGAATATGTTCAGAGTGATCTATTGGAGGGCTAGTTTACACCACAAACAATGCGTTCTGGCCCGATTTGGTGCCAGAATGCACTGGATCGCATTCCCGGTAGACATATGCGATTCGTTTCGGTAAAATTTGTTTTTCCAAGGAATATTTGTTATTCAGACATTCGGATGTATCCGAATTTCCGAATAACATAAATGATGAATGAAAACGAATCCGAATTTCCGAAAACTAAATTTCGGACGGAATTCGTTAGCGGTAGTCTGTACGCTTGTTCGTTTGTTAACGAATTTTCATTGCAGCAAAGAGACATAAAAAAAACACATTCTGCTGCAATGAAACGAACGAAACAAATACGAAAAGAAAACGAAAATTCGTACAGACTACCGCTAACGGATTTATTCCAAATCCCGAAACGAATTAACGCAGGTATTGATGAGCCACGCGTTCGGGTGTGGGCAATCGCACTGCGACCGGGGAGCGGAACACACCGTTTGTGGTGTGAACTAGCCCTTAACTGCACTGGCAGATCTGCGTGAACATTGTGGCAATAAACAATCACAGGACATGCACTGGACGGAATGGAGCATGGCACAATCCTTTAAAAGATGCAATATAGCCAAACATTTTTTTTTACAGGATAAGTTCTGATTTGTACCTTAGGGTAAAAGTGACATGTCAGTACAAAAAAAGTGACTCTTCATATCAGTTCTCTGAGCTAACCCCCAGACGACACCTAGGTAACCCTTTTACTTGATAAACCCAAAATAAATTTAAAAAAAATGTAAAACCAGGAATTTGTTGTAGTTGCACGATGCTCAAAACCTTTAAGGTCCCCTTTCACGCGGGCTGATCAGGAGAGGATCCATGCACAGATCCTCTCCTGATCACAGCAGTACGGAGCAGATGTCACCACTTTGCGATGGAGGAAAAAACTGCAGTGTGTCTATGGGGAATCAGATTTAAATGGATATGATTCTAATGTACAAGATGTTCAATGGTGACAGCAACATTGGCAACAAACTGTTTGAGATTAACTCAATTACAAAGACTAGAGGCCACCACCTAAAGTTGGTGGAGAAAAAATTCCAGCACAATGGGCGAAGAGGGTTGTTTACAGTAAAGAGCGGTTAAGGTCTGGAACTCACTGCCATCGGCAGGGATTTCAGCCAAGAGTGTAGATTTGTTCAAGAAACTTTTGGACAATTTCTTGAGGGACCATAATATCCAGGGATACCAGTATCCCTAAGAATGAGATGATGCGTGGACCTATATGGGTTGGACTTGATGGACGTATGTCTTTATTCAACCCCAAATACTATGTAACTATGTAATGGCATGGCAAAACGGATCTCTGATCCGCTTGTTTTTCCGGACCTGGCCGGAGACTGGGGTAACTGGGTGTAAGTGGGCAGAGTGCATAGTCAAAGCTTATTTTCTGAGTTGGATGTACACACATCTTTCTGCAGCTCCTCCTGCATGCCTGCGCTTCCCAGGTGCTTCAGCTATGCTCCTCAGGCCCTGGACACAGCAGACCATGGGACCACAATATGGGGAATGGTCTGCTGCTTTGCAGTTTCCGACTGTTTCTTGTCCTTTTTGAGACTAGGCAGAAAAAGGCGGGTCCCAGGTTCAACCTGTTAGACCTCTCCTGCTCACAAGATATTCTGATTGTTTCCACTGAAACTTCAGCTTTGCATCCAAGTCCACCTCAGAACCTTTACTCAGGCTTTCAGGTGTGGTAATGACAAATGGGTCTGGTAGAAGTTACCCCCAATTTTGGAGGGATTCCTCGCTCAACTTGTCTGAGGTACAAGACAGGACTTCTTTAAATGTTTTTGACCGACATAAGCTCTCATAAAAGCCCCCATACTCCTAACTACTCTGTTCCCTCTAATTCAGAGAAAGAGCCATCCCAGGAGCTCCCAGGTTTGTCCACTGCACATAGATTGAGTGTTATGTCTTTTCTTGGCAAAGGTGAGCTCTTTCAGGGCAAATTATCTTGCCTTAACAGCCTGATTCAAGCAGTGCTTGAGATGCTCAGGTTTAAGAAATCAGCTGTAACTGACAAGAAATATCAACTAAAGGTGCCCATACACCTTGCGATGATCAAACCGTCGTACGGCGGCCCCATCCTGCCCGATTATCGCAAAGTTCAATCAGCGGATCAAGGGTCTGGTATGGAATTTTAGGGGGGGATCCCATGATTTCTCCCCTCATTTTTGGGGGTGGACCTTAGGGCCTGGTATGACTTTTAGGGGGAACCCCACACACTTGTTGTTTTGTACACGGGGTCCCTCATTAATATTCCTACCAGATCTTAAGGGCCTGGTATGACTTTTAGGAGGAACCCTACACATTTTTTTTTTAAATTGGTCCCTCTTAACATTTCTACCAGACCTAAAGGGTCTGGTATTGTTTGGGGAGGGGAACTGCACACTTTAACCACTTGCCGTCAGCCCGTTGTAAAAAAACGGACGGACGGCACTGTTGCATTGGCGGGTTGCCGTCGCTAGACAGCATTTTTTTTCTGCTCGCGCACGCCCCCTTGCGGGCATGCACGGGCAGAAAAGACCCGACCAATGCAAACACCCGTTACCGGGTGTTTCACATATAGGCGATCAGCGGCTCCATAGCCCGAAAAAAAATTCATTTTTTTCTTTTAGAAATGTCAGTTTTGCTGCAGCAGGTTCTATACATCGTACAGATCCGCCACTTCACAGGCAGGTTAGGGGGACCCCCCCAGGCATGATATTTGAAGGAATTTTTCATTATTTTTTTTGCCCTTTTAAATGATGTTAAAATCACTACTCCTTTAAAAATTGTATTTTGTTTTTTTGGCATTGATTCCTGTTCCCCCAGGGCAGTACCCGGACCCCCATACACCATTTATGACCAATAACATGCATATAAGCCCTCTAAAAGGGGACTTTAATTTTCGAACGTTCGACCCCCATTGACTTGCATTGAGTTCGAGTTCGTATTCAAACTTTTCGGCCGTTCGAATACGAACCGAACACGGGGGTGTTCGGCTCATCACTAGTCCTGAAACAGGCAACTGAAAAATTCATGTCAACATGAAAGTCTGTCGCCACTTTGGAAGACTACTGATGTTCCCCAAATACTGGCTTCACAACATCTCAGCACACTTCCGTTCTATTCAAACCGGTTCACAGTTTCCAAAAAAAGTCTCTGTTGCAGAATTCCTGAAGCATGAAAAAGTATGTGATTTTGTAGACACCAGAGATGCTTATCTCCACTGTGCTAACTTTCCTCTGCATCTGATTTTTTTGTGCTTTGCAATTGGAGACATAAAATTCAGTTTGTGGCCTTGCTTTACATCCCTGAAATTTTTTTTTTACCAAGGTCCTGGCCCTACACAGAGACGGGGACATCCAGGGGCGTATCTGCCGCGAGGCAAACAAGGCGTTTGCCTGGAGCGGCAGATTCGCTGAGGGCGGCGTTGCTGCCTTGCCTAGGACAAAGCTGCACATCCCCCCCCC